TTTCAGGACCCCACTTTGGGTCCTGACCCCAACTTTGGGAAACACTTGTATAAAGTACCACAAAGTGATACTTGAGTAAAAGTACAAGTATATTACCATAAAATTACTTTGGTAAAAGTTAAAGTCTCCTCTAAGAATATTACTTGAGTACAAGTATCAAAGTATCTGATATTTTTTGTACTTAAGTATCAAAAGAAAATTTCTGACATAAAATGTACTTTAGTATTAAAAGTAAAAGTATTGACTAAAAAATGAGTAGCTAGATTTTACAAAATGATATTTATTGGGAGGTGACTTCCCAAAAAACATTTTTATTACGTTCACTCTATCCAGGAGGCACAGTTTATCTTTACAGTATTTGTTTTAATAACAGGCCAAATGAAAACAACTAAGAATGAACTAAAAGTAATGACTTTATACTTTTTGCCCTTTTTAAAATTGTAAGGTGTAGAAAGTACAGATAACTGTGTGAAAATGTAAGGACTACAAGTAAAAAGTAGGCTGAAAAATAATTACTGAAGTAAAGTACAGATAACCAAAATTTATACTTAAGAACTGTAACAAAGTATTTGTACTTAGTTACTTTACAATTCTGTTAACCAGTTCATTTCTGTTGCATTTGAGCAAATGATGTCATTTTATTTTGGGGGGGGGGGGGTATAGTCACTGGATCAAATTATTGTGGGTGTTATAATCCCGCCAACCCACCCTGCACTTTACGCCTATGTGTGCAACTAATCATAGATCCTTTTAAATTAAAGTTTAAAATCAACAGAAACTCCAAACCATCAACCGTATTTTTCCACTGATATAAAACATCTGGCTCTACTCTAGAACTGTGTGACTTTACAGAAAAACAGTTTTGGACTCAATCAGCTGCAGGCTTCACTGTTTGAACCATGAACTATAGAGTTTCACTTCTTCAGCAGTTTAGATAATATCATTACCATGTATATACTGTAAGTTGCAGTATTATCTGCATATGTGAATATTACAGTTAGAGCAAACAGAAGGAAGGACTTCAGAATATGGAGTCAGTAGTAATGATGCAATGATAGATACCTTTATTTGCATTCATTTTACACATTTAACTTTTTTCTGGCCTTGTGTAGCACTTTGTCTCTCCCTCTGTAACACCTGATGATGTGATTTGATCCAGTTTGATGATGTCAATTTTGTTCCTCAGTCTAGCGATCCACGCCATCGTCTGCCTGCCACTCATCTATTTCATCATCGTGAGGAAGAATCCCTACACCTTCACACTGGGCATGGCTCAGGCCCTGGTGACGGCGCTCATGATCTCCTCCAGGTCAGTAAACCTTTTTATTTCTGAAACCCTGGGAACTAAAGCCTCACTAAGACCACTTTGTGCCTTTCAGCTCCGCCACGCTGCCCGTCACATTCAGGTGTTCTGAGGAGAACAATCATATTGACAAGAGGATTACCCGCTTTGTGCTGCCAGTGGGGGCCACCATCAACATGGACGGCACGGCGCTCTACGAGGCAGTGGCCGCCATCTTTATTGCTCAGCTGAATGACTACGCTTTGGATGTGGGCCAGATCGTTACCATCAGGTATCATCAGGTTTAAGTACTTTCACTTTATTCTTCGTTTCGTGATAGAGCTGTGGGACTGCTTTTTCACTAAAAAAAGCTACGTGATGGTATAACGTAACTTGGGTCCAGCGTATTGACCATGAACCTAAACCCCTCGCCATCGACTGAACTATATGGATGTAAATCCTTGGTGATATAGCAGGTGATGGAGTAGGAAATCTTCACAGATCTTGGAGAATTAGCTGGAAGTTTGTTGCATTGCTCCAGAGTACGTTGGTCGGCTGCTTTTGGATGCTTTTCGACGTCTTTTATCTCGGGGTGATGTCGCGCCAAATACGTATTTCCAAAGTATTTCATTTTCATTTTGCACTGCCTGCAGATAATTGTGCTCATGTCGAGCTCTTTTTTCCCCGCGGCATTGTAGAAACCAAAGTGTGCCCAAACACTGGCTTTTAGCGACGACACAGCAGGTTGAATCAAGCTCTCCTCCTGCTCCATGCTAACAGACTCCATTAAGCAAGGGAGCTGGCTAACTTGCTTAGCGCCGCTAGTAGAGACGCCGCCTTCTACGGTGGCCGCAAGGGTAACGTAATCTACAGTACAGATTACGTAACCTTTCAGATTTGACAAACTTTAAACACATTTTAAAATCGATTTGTGGAAGTTTAGAATCTATTCAGAATCGCCTCGATCCTTTTAAGAATCAAATTATTTTCAACACCCCTAGTGCTAACAATCAGGCTGCAAAGTTTTCCCTGGCAACTTCAGAAATGTTTCAAAGTCAAGTCAGCTGCTCTCTGTGGCGTGTTAAACATTTCCTGAAACTTTCAACTGTTTCTGGCACCTACAGTAGATTAATTTTAATCTCCGAAACCAAAAACCCAAAACCCAACTCTGCAGCCGTGCTCAAATTTCTGTCAGCCGCAGTTCTACAACTAATAGCTAACATTTGGGTAGCATCCTGCTAATATCCGGCTGTCAACCCCAGACTGCTCTGCCTTTCCCTCCCCTCTCCCATCCTCAATAAAACCTAATTCTTCCAGGTACCTACCTGGGCTTTGTGGGGAATAAAGTCCTCGATAATATAACAACCATTTAATGCAATGATATTTGAAGCAGGTGGTTTTGTTGGTTTACCTGAATCAGTCTTTGGTGAGTTGATCTAATCCTCCTGAATGTTAAATCAAATGATGAAAACAAGTCAGGAAACATTGGGCCTCATGCAGGAACATGTTCGTATTCTTATCCTAAATTTCTCTTACTTTTGTTCGTACAAAGGGTTCGTACGAACATGTCACGTCAGATTCAACAAACTCTTCTATCTTCAGGAAAAGTGTGTAAATGAGCTGCGTGTTTCCTGCCTCAGACACAAGGAAGTGTCCATTCATAAACGACATTGCAAAGTAAAAAAGAAGAACTTTGCGAGTTCGGAGATTGTAGTCCTGCTCTCAGA